GTGCTCAGAAGGGCCCTGCACTGGGCTTAATGCTCTGCTGTTGCTTCCTGGAAATTCCTAACAACTTCATCTTTGGAGTTGTGTTTTGTAAGTGAAGTTCGATGGGAATGAAGCACAAACGGGAGCAGAGGAGACAGGCACAGCCATTCTTTGCAGCCCCACTTGCATAGAGCAGTCATGATGCCCCATGAGCACAGAATTCCAGCGGGCCCACAGCGCGTAAGAGTTCATCAAGACCCAGCTCGAGTACAAGGTAAGACTGTCAGGGATGTAACTAAGTCAGCAGGCAGACCAACTAACAGCCCCAAGAGGTATGCTTCTCATTCAACCCAGAAATTGCTACACGTGCAGAAAGAAAGCAGTGAGAGGCACAAATGACCTCAAGTCCCCTCCTATCCTTTCTTACTTATGTCACTTCCCTGGATACTAGCCAACCACTTGTGCTGAAAGTGATGACACAGAAGCAAAGAGCAGGTTAAGAGTAGGGAATAGTCCCTGTTCCTTTCCCTACTCAGTAGAAAGCCAAACTTGGTGGAAAGTGCACACATGATGAATGCATATAAAGAGGGGTGCCTGGGTGGCTCAGTCGGTTGAGCGTCTGACTCTGGATTTCAGCTCAGGTCAGGATCCCAAGGTCGTGGGATCAAGCTCCAAGTCAGGCTCCCCACTGAGTTCGGAGCCTCCTTAGGGTTCTCTCTCCCTCTCCCTCTGCCCCACTCCCCAGATCGTTTTCTCTCTCTCCAAAGAAAAAATAATAATCTTAGAAAAAAAGCATTAAAAAAAAAAAGAATGCATACAAAGAAATGAAATAATGCCAGTTGATTTTGTTTTGTCAGCATCTCCACTGTTCTAGCAAGAACTACATATGCCTGTATAAGCTACAAAATGCGAATTGTGTAATTTATGTGATTTCACGCACAACGTAAGTGCTTTCACATTTGCACTTAAAACTAGCATCGCACAATATAAAGATGAACAGTGACATTCATGCCAATAATTCAAAATTTCAACTTTCTTACAATGACATTAAATAGCAAATAAAAGCACCATGTCAAGTCAAGAGAGAGAGAGAAAGACAGATCCTGAAAGTAAGAAAAAAGCTTTATCTCTTAACACCTTTAATGATACTTTCTCCCTGCTTCTGGAACAAGGAGTTCCACATTTTCATTTTGCAATAGGCGCCATAAATTATGTAGCCAGCTCTGGTCCCGTGGCTTTAAGGCACGTCCATCCCAGGCCTTTACCCAGTGTGACTCCTCTAGGCCTTGTCACACCCCTGTCCTGGGGCTTCAGTTGGGATCAGTGGATATTATCTGTCCCTTTGGTAAAATAAAAAAATTAAAAACCCCTCTGAAACATAGCTCTAAATCGATGGGGAAATGGGTAACATGACATGGCATGGGCTTAACCAAAGTCCCAGGGTATGCCAGTGATAGAGGCACAAGCTGACTCTCATCTAGCCTTCAGATCCAATGCCATGGCCTGTTGGCACGCATCTTTACCACTGGCATTTGAGTCTCGAATATCATTTGAAAATACCAACAAAGTCATTACATGTTGCAACCTTTTGATCACATCCCAGCTGGGGCCACCACAGCCCCACAGGAATCACGTAGAGCTAAAGGCCCTGCCTTTCAAGAGATTCTGCACAAAACATTCCAAGGCCCCAGGGGAGTCTTGTGTCTTGTTCAAGGTCAACAGGAGTCGATCACCAGGCCAACACAGGCTTCCTTGGCAGCTTTGGTAAGGATTAGATTCCTGTATCTCCCCAGGCAGGTCAGAAGATCTTTTCAATCACTGTGTCAAAGTCATTTGAAATTCTGAAAGAACAGGATGCTTCCCATCTTTTTTTTTTTTTTTTTTTTTTTTTTTTTTTTTTTTTTTTTTTTTTTTTTTTTTTTTTAATTCCTTGAAGAATAAGACAGGTAAAATCAAATCCAGGGGTCTTGAGGCACTGGCCAGATCCCTCCTAATCAGGAGGGACTCCAAGCCAGAATGGACCACAACTATGGGCACGTTGATAACTGCTCTCACACCCTTCATGCGACCTCCTCGAGTCATCTAAGTGGATTTTTAGACTAGCATTTCTTAGCACATTCTAGCTGCCCGCTTGTTATTCTCTTAGAGCCTTCCATGAAGAGTACCAGGGTTCATCAGACCTAAGTTTTCTCCAGAAGCCTCACCACAGCATTTTATTTGGTGTGAAGATGCCCTCGGCAACAGAGCCTCATCCTCTAGGTACTTCTGGGCTAGTCCAAGTTCCCAAACATTTCCCTCTATGGACAGCTGATGTCCATAGGACATCATAGGAGGACAGATCCTTGTGGGCACGAACATCTTCAGGCTGCTTCCACCAGGAGCTGGCTGGGCCACTCAGCAGGCACTGTGGCCCAGATGGAAGGGTCAGTTGCCTTTCTGCCAGAAAGAATGTGCAGCTGCTGTCTCCTTCCTATTAGCAGGCGTGAGGGGGACAGGGTACCTTATGGGCGACACTGCACTGTTGTGTCACTGACAACAATAACAGTGATCTTTTCTTCCCTTGCCATCCGATGATAATTGTAAGCCCACACTTAAAATGTTCATGTTCCCATTTCGAACAATCTTCACAACAAGATTTTAATGAAACGTAACAGTGTTCCTGGCATAATGGTAAGTGGAAATAAAAGCAGGAGATACAGGAGGTCCTTGCTTTGCGAGCAGTTTACGTTTATGTGTAGGAAAAAAAACACAGGGAGAAAATACATCACAAGGAATGCCTTTAGGTGGTGGGATTAAAGGTAATTTTGTATTTTCTTCTTTAAACTTTTTGATATTTTCTAAAAGAAAAAAACACTTTATAGGTACGTATTACTTTTGTAATCTGACAAGAAAGGACACTTTCCTATTAGCTAGAATTACTGAGATCGTAGTAACAGATTTAATGCATTATCCCAAAGGAAACCAACATCAGGCTTCTCCCTCTCCAGGTGACTTCCAGGATCCCCTCTCCCAGCTGAATTTTCTATACAGTATACAGATTTTGGCTTTGACACGACTGCTCAGCTTATAATTACTCTTCTTTTCTTTTTCATTAAAACTTGAAAATATTTAGAAATAGCCCTATCAGGTTTTTGAATCAAGGTACTGTATTACTTCCTCCTGATTATCAGGGCTCAGATCCCCCAACAGAATTTTTCAAGGGTAGGGCTCTAAAGCCCACCTGACCCTGGATTCAGGGAGACAGAGGCCTAGAGACACTGACTTTGTGCATCAAGGTGTGATGACAAGAACATTGATTTTGAACTTGAATGGCTCTGGAACCTTGGGTTGTTTTTTCTTTTGTTTTGTTTTGTTTCTCTACAATCTCTTAGCAAGTTGGTGTAAAGATTAAAAAGTGCATTGGAGTGTCTGGGTGGCTCAGCCGGTTAGCTGTCCGACTTGGGCTCAGGTCATGATCTCGTAGTCCGTGAGTTTGAGCCCCCGAGTAGGGCTCTGTGCTGATAGCTCAGAGCCTGGCGCCTGCTTCGGATGCTGTAGGTCTCTCTTTCTCTCTGCCCCTCCTCCACTCGCGCCCTGTCTCTCTCTGTCTCCCTCTCTCTCTCTAAGATAAATAAACATTAAAAAAAAAAAAATTAAAAAGCACATTGTGCGTGAAATGCCCAGCGCAGTGCACACAATAAAGTATTAATATGAAGAGTGGTGAGTGCTGGAGAAGGCAGCAGTGGGGAAATCTGCTCCTGTACTCCCCGTTCTCCCACCACAGAAGTTTTCCAAAGTGCCTGGGGCGCGGGTGGGGGGGGTGGGGAGGGTGGGGAGGAGCTGGCGGGACCTGAGCCCCACCCTGACTGGGCTCGCCTGACCCAGGACACGTCTTTGGTTTCACCATGGAAATGTAACCACTTCTGTGGTAGGAGATGGGCAGTCCTAGCCACAGGCCAGCAGCCAAAAGCGTGGGGTGAGGGGCAAGCCTAGAATGCCCATGGACAACACTAAATATTAAGACTCCATTACCACTCTGAAACCGCCGCATTAGTGATCCAGAGTGCCTCTTCCTCCACCCACGGCCACTCTGCCCTTTAACTATTCATCAGGCGGAAGCAAGGGTGCCAGAGACTTACAGGAAATAAAGAGAATCAAGCTGTACGTTATGATGGACCAAGATAGTCCATCTGGCTATACCACTGCTTTATCTGCCGCCATCATTGTTAGCACCACCATTTTTACAGCTGCTACTACCACCAGTCTATTAATCCTTTACATTCGCAAACTACAATTCATAAAGTGGCTGGGTTTTGCCTGGGTCGGGATGATCCTGGACATGGCATCACGGGAAGACAGAGGCAGGCTGGCACTAGCAACCTCAAAGGGAACAGAGCAGAATCACTGCCAGGTTTTTTTCATGCCCCGACCGCCTGCACCCCAGACACATCCACCATCCCCAGCCACACCCAGTCACTCTCTCAAAGTGACTCTGCCCCAACTGTCCGGAGCTAGTTTTAGGCAACTTCAAGGGTTAGGAACTAGGAGGAATGGCCTTTTACTTGGCCAGAGGAGCTGGACCATGCCCAAATCCCATCAAATGGGGTGAGAGAGGAGTAGAGAGTGCCTTTCAAATATAAGGTCATTGCGTCTGCCAACATCTCCCACCTTCTCACAGCAAGGCCCTGGAAAGACCCAGACTCTTCCTTTTGTTTTTGTTGTTGTTGTTTGTGAGGTTTTACATTTTCCTGTGCCAAAGTTAAATTTTTAAAAATGTCTGACTTTGACCTAAATCCCCAAAGTGAACTCTGGAATGTATATCTCACCTTCTCATCCCAACAGAAGGGTCCCCTTTTTCCAAATCAGGCCCAGCAGCCAGCTGGGGAGAGGACCAGCGCTACAGGGAGGGAGGATGTTACACACAGCTCAAGCTCAACCATGAACTAGCTTCCCTTTGAGATCGCTCTCTTCACCTGGCAACCGGGGGCCCCAGCAGAGCTGAGAGAGAAGAAAGTGGCATTTTGGAATCCATTTTGCTCAAGATGCTGAAGGCTCGTGGCAAACTGCCCTTTGCTACTAAGGCCAAGGGAACTTGGGGAAGGACCTTAGCCTTTGGGATGCGGTCAGTTGAGGGCAAGGTGAGGGCGAGCTCTGGTGCCAATGATATCCGAGGAGGGCAGCCACTGGGCATGCGGTGGGTGCGGGTGCCCACCCTGGGCGCCACTTCCCGCATTTGGACCCAGGTCCACTGGTGAGCGGTAGCAGCAGCGATCGCCACCAGGCCAGCTGGGTCCCCTTCTGTGTGTCCAGTTATTTTTAGGTGAGATTTACGACGGACGAGGGGGAAGGGACACGGGATGACAACGAGTTTTGGACGGTATAATCCTAAAAGTCACTTTTTCCAAAGCGCCCCCCTCCCGGGTTCTCCTTCCCGGAGCAGCACGGTGCCAGCGGGGAAGCGGGCAGCGCGGGCGCGCCGCAAGGTAGGCTCGGACCCGAGAGCCGGGGGGGGGGCCCCTGC